TTTACAATATTAACATTGTCCATATGTTACTGGTTAGTGACTCAAAATGTTGACGTTTCGTCGTCACGTTTTACTCGTGCCTTGCGCAAATTTATTCAAAAGGTTTACCCCTCTTCCAATTGAATACGGTATGCTTCACAATATCTGTAGTTAGGCAATAGGTCCTACATTCAAACACGATCTACTGCTATACAGGTTTCGGTGAGCTTTGCCTGCAAAATAAAATAAAAATGGTGCACGATGTGTATGTTGATATGATTTGCATAGTCGTTACGTTCTTGTATACATTTTTAATGTGACAAATGACCATTTTAAAACATAAATTGCCCATAAAGTCAAATAAATGCGACCGCACATTCATAAATTGTATTAGAAATTGGAAGTTTGACGATTAATTCCTACTGGTATTTTTTGTTTTTCACATACAGTATATTAATATAATTAGTTATCGGCACTCCTTGCCTCTTCGTTCACAGTAGCGTTAAATTAACAGCAGTGACGTCTAATAAAAAATACGGTTCATTGTGGTGTAACATAAGTGTATAGTAAGTGTGTTTCCACAACACATTATTAATACAGGAAATTCAATCTCATAATTAAATCGAAGCACCGCAATTATTAAAAAGAAGCTTTATAAGCAAAATTTAAGCTTAACTGCGAAATACTGTTGTCTCTTTTGTATAATCCTCTTTCTTACAATTCGTTAAAATATCAGTATATTCAAAACAATTTTCTAATTCTAAACCTCTAACACTGGCTGCTTCGACATAATACAAAAAAGCTCTAAACTATAAACACAACACTAACTCGCAAACTAGTCTTTAAGTGGCACGATTTTAATATGTAGATTCTCAATGTAATGTTACAAACATTACGGGTGTACATTTTAGGTGTGCATTTAGAGAACTTTACGATAGAAACTTGAAAGTGCAGAATGTGGAGGGTGTGCATCCAACTATTGGGTACCCGATTGATGAGATGAGTCTCCAAAATTTCAATCCCTTAATTGTTAATTAATCACTAATTAATGTTCTTTACAACCATTCTGTGTACAAGATGCAAGTTTTATCATATTCGATTTAGCAAGTATTTTCCCATATGGCCGTTTATTTATTTTCGAAATAACAATTCGCGTAATCAAGCTTATTATTATTAAATCATGGTCGTTCGACATTTATTTGGATACTGACTTAACCATTGTAAGATTTTTTTCCCTCATAATTCTTACTTTAAGTGATTTAATTATACGTATCAGAAACCAAATTCTGACAAGTCTTTTTTTATTATTGCTCAAGATTATTAATCTCATCTTACACAATTGGATACCCGAAACTTTTTTCTTGACCACTTTGTAAGTGGATGCTTTATTTGAGCAATCTGTTCTTTAACAAAATTTTCGTCTATTTCCTAAGCACATTTTTTTATTGTAAGCGAGATACAATTCATACAATGACATTCGTCTTTTCAGATGGTCTACCCGCATTTTAAAAATGTCTGATCATAATATATAATCAGCTGATAAAATCAATAGATTATTAACATTTCCATTGCCTACAAGGTATACCAGTTCTTTAATTAAACAGCCTTATGGCAATACAGTCAAACTAGTAAGATTTAGATGAGCTCTGTCTGTAAATAAAATAAAATTATAGTATTATGTGCGTTGATACTATTTCAAATTGAATTCGTAAACTATAAAGTCTTTGATGTATGCTTTCTATTACTACCACTAATAAACATATATTTAATAAACAGTCTCAAATATAGTAGCGTTGCAATAAGAAACTGAAATTCAGGGATGGAGATCATCATAAACCGGGCGCACTATTATGAGTAACGTAATACTCGATTTGTTGGTTCGGCCTGCTTTAGGTTCTTTCATAATTTAACAATATACAGTATTTGCACATGATTATTTTTTTCGGTTGAATTTATTTGACATACTCGATACTGCATGCTAAATTTAGACCCATTGTATGGAGCAAGTTTGGACTGTAAGATAATGTTGCAATAATTTACTTGCTCGTGCTTTGAAAATTTTATTGTAAAGAGCATCGCATTACATGCGGATAACGGTTGTTCTTTCATACATGCTTCGGAAAAATGGGTAAATGAAATTGGCATATGACTTACTGTACGAATTAGATGCCGCATGAAAGAGGCGTGGGATAGTACAGTGGATTCTCCCTAAGTGCAGCTTCTCTGGCACTATATTTTCCTTCCCTAAATGCAGGCTCTGGTTTGGTCACGAGATTATAAAACCATTAAGTATTTTACTCTCTATAAATGCAGGTTAGGGAGAGTCCACTGTATGTATTGTAAGTTATATCATGTCTCAGATATCGAGAAATTGGCAAATTACTGTAATAGACGACAAACATTATATCTGAAATAGTTTTTGTCACAAAAATATATTGCAAATTAGAGATATTCAGGTACAGCCCTGATATTTGCCGTTATTATTTATATTTGCTACTGAGACTACTTGCTTGTTTACGTGGTATACAGATTGAGAGACATAATTTGCTAAAAAACTTAAACCTTACAGTACAGTCGACAAATGTTACGTTAAAGCCTTTTTTAAAATTTATCTAATACGAGTATACCAACAAAACTGTTATTATCAAATAAGACGAATGCTGGTATAAATATTCTAGAAGCAAAATTTAAACCCTGTATAAGGAGTGGATTTGTTGTTGGACGTTTGTTATATAAAAATAATAAATCTAGATAACATACTTTAGTAAAGGTAGATTGCCTCAAGTATTGCTGATATGTGAGTAGTCTAGGGATAGAGAGAAGAGTGCTTGTCGAAATAAAAGAGGTGATCGCAGAACGTTATGCATACATGATAGAATATTAAATAGAAAGGCGAGGCATATGTGTGTTATAATTATGGTAAAGTTTTTAACGGACAAATAGTGGAGCGCATTAGTATGTTAGGTTTTCTCACCGTCAGTATTACTAAAGAAAACTACTCACTCAACTGCTAATGTATTGGCATTTAAAGTTTTTCTCCCCTTGGCCTACAGTTTGAAAGAACGTACCAATCGATGCAAACCATATTGGATGCTGGTTCTAGAGTTGCTTGCCTTTCGCTGTCGATAAATGTGCGTAATAACTATGACGCGCGTATAGGTATCCATACTTACGTCTGATAGAGACAAGTTGACTTGCTTCTGTTCCATATTAATATAGACCCACATCAATACGCTGATGGCAAGATAAACTTTTATTACAGTACTATGGTTATACACTGCCTCAGCAAAATTTTATGCTAATGCGACTCGATTAGCAGAGTGCCTTGTGTTGTTGTTCTTTAGAGCAATTTCAGACACTGCAAAACGCCAAGTTTCCGTAATACTGTTTGCACTAACTTGTAACTGTTGGCGGGTTGCTTTGTTAATTATACTATACAGATATTGTATTTGTTGTATTAAAGAACTTGTGAATGGAAATTCGTTGTCTGTCCACACTCTCGTCTACTTTTGTTGAGCATAATAGCATCTGTTTAATTGTATTTTGGTGTCATAAATTTATAAATTGCTAATACATAATTCGTCTACGCTAATCGTTGGGGCTTTTATGCACCATGGCGTAAAAAATTATTGAATACTACCTTGTAAGTAACCAATGAAACACATATTCGAATGTAATGACCGCAGAGATCTGTCATTGTGTACGTATTTTGTATTACCCGAAAATTGTATGGGAACAATACAATGCTTCATTGTTTCTTCTGATTTGTTCGGAGAAAACTGTTTCAGTTAGACTGTGTTAACATGCTGCAGGTAACAGGGCGAACCATAAACCAAGATATACTACCAAGATATACTACCAAGATATACTGAAACGCTCATCTTTATATATAGAATAAACACAGCGCTTAAGAACTAAGGAGGCGTATAGTTTACAAAGCAAATACTATAAACTGTTACATGATTAACGATAATTGGGCATTAAATCTCCAAGTTGAAATCGTAATAAATCTATGAAAGCTTATAGAATTTTCGATACAAGCTTAATTCCAATTGAATCGCTACGCTAAATATAGATGAACTCTTCTATATCGAGCACGGAAATTGTGTCTGCGTCTGAAACCCTCAGCCCAGAACGGGCGCAAGACGGCAATCCAGAATATTTAGTAATTCGTTGTTTCCGCGAAAAAAAAACCAACTTATAAATCATAAATAATATAAACAAAAACACTGACGCACCCAGCTACCAATTACTTTTCTGTTACACTAATATCAGCAATCTGGTACGCTTCCAGAAATTTGTAATATTTCAAAATAGCCGAGAAAAATTTACTACACAAAATAAAATCAACCTTTACTCAATTGCTCAATACACGTTTATAAAGCCTGGCATCAGTACATTATCAACAATCCTGCAATAACGATGATAAAGTTGACTATTTTCTACCCTTCCCGTGGATCGGCATAACATGGCCCAGAATTATTTGTGACATTCTTAAATCTATGTAGCACAAGTCTTTGTTGTTTGATTGAACAAATAGAATTTCAGTTTTTAATCCTTGTCTTTACGAAACCATCTATACCTTTTAGGGCATAATGCTGTCCTGTAATTAACATCATTCACAAAGAAATTCTAAATAAAGTAATTAAACTTCATTGTGTCCAACCGTAAACTTGCCTTCTCCCCTGTTTATATTCCCCCAACCCCCCCAAGTATATTACCACGTTTAGCGCACACACAATAATCCAACCACTAAAAACATATTACGATAGATTGTGTTACTCTACATTATTCGATACGATTCCTTGGAACGGGCCTACACCGAAAAAACAAAGAACGTACATCACACCAACTTCTTTGCATACATGCGATGAAACTGGGGCACACAAGACACGTATATATATATCTCTCTCAAGAACCGCAAGGATGCTCCCTCGGACCATAATCCTCACAGCCAAACTGACATAAATAGAAATCTGTAACAAATCTAAATTACTCTATACTCTCTCTCAAAAAGAAATATGCCTCATACAGAAGAGTTTACGCAGGCCGCAACTCCCAAACTTACCCCCATTTCCATCACTTGTCCACCACAAATGCACTACACTCCACCAGCATTCGACTTTTATACAAAGTCTGGATCTGACGCATGCCTATCGCCTTCCCCATATCCATTTGAGTGCATACCGCTCGAGAGATTAGTCAACATAGAGTATTTGGGACAATATGATTTAGATTCCGTTTATCGTGCTGTTTGGTTGGATGGTCCCCTAGACTTGTCTTCAAAGATTTGCGGAAAAAGGTGTGGAAAGACTGGCGTTATTCTAAAAAGAGTTCAGTGTATAAGGAGATTAGTTGGAAAGGTGAGAATCAGCAGGGTGCTGCGTGAGGGGAGTGACTAACGTATGTGAAGAATTAATGGGAATTTGATTGGAAGCACATTAACCTAATCCACTAACGTACCTTTCTCTTTCTTTTCCTTCTTTAAATAACCCACAGTTGCAAGCTTATGTAAACTGCCCGTCAAATAACACTATGGAGATCTATGCCGTATCTCATGACTTCTCCACCAACTCATATTACATAGTGTTCAACCATCCGATCCGCTCTCTTGCTTCTGAACTTTCACGACACTCATCCCATCTGACAGCGTTCCATAGAATATCGATCTTATCTATTATTGCACGGGCGGTAGCTGACATGCATGCATCAGGACAAGTGCATGGAAACTTACATTCGGGGAACATTTTTATCAAAGATAAGATCTTCAACTCTAAAGGAGCGAGTAAACCAAATGAAGCAGTCGAGCATCCAGATGACAAAATTGGGACAGACTTTGAGGATTACAATGAAGGACCGAAGCGGTTGTCAAACGGTTCGGACGCTACTGTTGTCCCGGACGATACAAATGTTTCGGAAGCTACAATTGTCTCGTCGAGCCCGAGCACACCTTACTTTCCCAAATCTCCATTCTGCCCGTATCCTTCCGACCATCCAACAAGTGACCTCGTTCAGGATTATTTAATACCAGACGCTTACGTGATCTCTCTCAGCGAACCGGTTCCTCAAACACCGCACACACCATCGACAACGTTAATGTTTTCTCCTCCACTTCCATATTCTGCTCCCGAAATCCTGCACGGCCTCCCCTATACAAAAGCGTTCGACGTGTATTCACTAGGAATACTCATGTGGGAGTTAATGACGAACGAAATGCCGTTTCAAAACCGAAGACCAGACTCTTCACTGGCTATCGACATATCCGAAGGTCTAAGGCCAGATTATAATGCAGATTTTTATCGGCGTGGAAAGCTCCCTTGGAAGTGGGTCGAACTCATGAGACAGTGTTGGGACCAGTCACCGGAGAACAGACCATCGGCTGAGAGAGTGTATGCCATCGTCGATTGTTGGCGTTGGGATCGAGCGATGATTGAGGAAATGGAAAATGTTTGGCAAGAAAGATGCTGGAGTTAAACATCGGGGATTTTTTTTGTTGTATATACAGTATATAAGCGTGTTGTATTTTTCTTTTTGTTTTCTCATTTGCATATTAACTTACATACATGCACTCATCTCGTATAGAAAAGCATTTATCCAAAAGTATTCATTTAGAATAGTGTGCGTGGGCATTCATAATATCCATTACAAACTGGGTGTAGACAGGTCATCTTGGATATTCTAGTATAAATAAAAAGGGTCAATTTGAGTAGACTTTTGATTTATCAAGTATTCGATTGTGATAACGGATTTAGAACATCACCTAAATCCGAACATGGCTGCACCACACATGATAATTATACTATTTGTTTTTATATCGGGTATGTATGAGGACGGGTGAGTGTATACGCCATCGAACAAAAAGATGGACAGTTACTGTATTCCGCGAATACAAGGTCAAAGAATTTAACTTGTCTTGTGAAGACGAAAAAAGTATGCCGAATTTCAGGTTATATATTGTTATACGTGTTGTTACGGCAAAATTAAAAAATTTCGATACGTACCAGACATTGTGCGGCATATATTTCTTGTAACTCATCATCCCGTTAGATTATAGTGTTTAAACAGTAACTACCGAAAACGGCTAGTGTTATATTATTGAATTGGTAATGATATTTGGTGAGCTTCCACACAAATGCGTAACGTTGCTTAGTGACCGTACATAGACAAATTTGTTAAAAGCCGACTTTGTGTTAATTGGTTACTCTGGCAACTTGGGGCCAGTATTACATAATGGAGTTGATTAGTGCAACGATATAGTTAGTTATAATGTTTTCTTGCAATTTGAAATAGATATAGGTTAGTATTATTAGTCTCGAAAATAATTAGGAGAACATATTTGTGACTTTCTCGACTTTCGTGCAAAATCTGCAACAGCAAGTCAAGGTAGGACAATGTGTGGTAGCACTAAACATAACATGTTGCACCGATCGCCTCGGCATTTTTATTGCACAAATTCCAGCCTAACCTATTGAACAATTGGCATTCAGTGTCAGAGCAAGTAGATATCTGGGTAATTACACGATCTATATTGTATGTTTATTTTATTTTTCCACTTGGGTAAAGGAATAGCCTTTTGATTAACTTTCTCATAGGAAATTGGACAACCATCATCTTCAAATGTCAAAAATAAAGGAAAAGGGAAGCAGCTTGAAAAAGCAGAAACTGAAGATTTGACTGAAAGAGACTTCATTGTCTTTGAAAGTGATAGTGATGACTGTGAAGATTATGAACAACAGTTTCCTATAAGCCTGAATAAGGTTGAATTAAATGAGCAATTAAACCTGGCCCTGGCATCAATTGTCAATGACAATGACAGAGCAAGTCATCTTATTAACTTGTGCAACTTACTGCTATTGCATGGTAATAAATTAGATGACAATCAATTGAAAAAGGCTTTAAAAACAATTGGAACCAATATTGCATATGATGACTATAATATGACTACTGGTATTGAACTGGAATTACATCTCAGAACATATGTATTAGCTTTAGAAGTCTATGGCAGGCAACCTATTAAGATGAGAAAGGAGTTCCATGGAGCTTTGTATGAAAATCTAGCAAAATTACATGATATTCATCAATCCTATATCAAAGTATTAGAAGATGGATTAAAAACTACATGTAGCTTATTTGCTGGTCCAAAGGAAAGTGTTAAAGTTCAAAATTACAACATTGATTTTTTACTTATGCATCTTTACAATACTCTTCATATGATGGATGATGATAAAAATACTTGGCTTGAAATTATAAATCAACTAAGGGCTTTTTTTACTGCACTAGTTGAGGCTTTACCTGGTATGGCTGCAATCATGCCAACTGTGGAAACCCCAATCGATAACAAAGTTGTTGTAGAAATTTATAATAATATCCACAAGGCCTTACAACCAAAATTTTCCATGGGACATTGGTACAAGGAATGGAGATATTTATACAGCATGTATCAAGAATTTGTTGAATGGTCAGCTGCTCCAATTAATAAGAATTTAGTTGCCAAAGGGGAGTTAATGCTAATCAAAGATTTATGGAGGTTTGGAGATCAAGAATGGAGTAAAGCAGTTTCAGCAAAATCAGAAATGTATGCATCCAATAATAAACCTAAATTAAAAAATATACTGGATTACTCGATGGCATATTCCTTGTTGTTTGGTATACTGGAAATTGCTCAAAGTCTAATAATATCTACAAAAAATATTAGTACCTTGGCTTATTGTTACTATCTTGCAAAACTATCTCTGGACATAGTAAGAACTAAATTTATTCAATTTAAAGCGGTGGAAGTTCTAATTATACTCCATGAAAAAGATCCAATCACATTTTCTGTTGTGCAGGTTGATCTAGATCAACATGCTGAAAGTTTATCCACTTTAGACCAAGATAAAAGAATGTTTCAAGACATGAGAGAATACATTGATAAAAAATACATGTACATTAATCAGGCAAGTAGTAGAACTAATTTTAAAACATCAGTCTCAAGACAGAAACTAAAAAAGCCAGATCAGATGCCTGAAGAACTTCTTAATTCAAATCCAAATGATTTATTAATATTAGACATGGTTGCAGATCATCTTACATGTCCATTCACACAAGAAGTTACAGAAGATTTTAGAATACTTCCATGCAAACACAAAATTAGTTATTTGGCATTGGAAACATTTATGAGGATGAACTATTTTGAACTGAAATGCTTTTATTGTAGAAGAAAGTTTCAATTGGAAGATACTGAGAAAATAGAAAGCTCACCAATTTACAAAGCATTGTATAAGAAGTTTGTCAGAGCTGGACATATCACACCAAAAAACAAAGCAAGAGATTTTACAATGATTGTGGAAAATCAGGATGATGAAGATATAGAGAAATCTTCTATTATTAAGTCAAAGTTTTTATATTTGCTTAAAATGAAACCAAAGAAAAAAATTCTAAGAATAATGAAGAGACCAAAAAGGCTACATCATACATACAAGCAAGGCAAGAAAGCTCTTGATGAAAAAAGATATAATGATGCAACATTATGGCTAGAAAGAGCACTTATACACTACCCTGATAGTGCAACTATTCAAATCAATCTTGCTATTGCATATATGGAAATTTTAGACAATAGAAAGTGTTATGAGTACATAACTCAAGCCATAAAAAATAATCCAAACAATTCTACAGCATGGGCATGTTGTGGAAAATATCACATGCAGCAATCAGAGTACAGACAGGCGCTTAAATATCTTAAACAAGCATTGAAGATTAATACATATGATGCACTTGCATTGGAAGTCAGGGGAAACCTTTATTATATTCTTTATCAGTATGACATGGCATTGAATGATTTCAACCAATTATTAGAGATTGAACCAAATAACATATTTGCACTGAAAATAAGAGGAATGATTTATTCTATGTTTGATGAATTTAACAATGCATTAAGAGATTTTAATAAATTAGTGGAGATGGAACCAGATGACACAAGCACACTGATTGCAAGGGCAGCTGTCTATCTTGATCTTCATCAATACAAAAAAGCACTGGATGATGTTGCTACAGCATTAAAGATCCAATCAAGTAGAACTCTACACACACAGTTATCATGTTTGTTTGATCAATTGGAAGCACTCCTCAATCATAAAAATCAATCATTGCTATTGAATTTTAAGGGATGTAAAATTTCAGATGAAATAACCATTATTTTAGCAAAAATTTTAAAATTAAACCCTCATTTGACTTCATTAGATCTTATACTTACTAGTAACCATATTGGATGTACAGGAGCAACAGCTTTGGCAAAGGCTCTAGAATCAAATTCCTCTCTGACTTCTGTGAATCTTCAAGATAATAATCTTGGAGATACAGGAGCAACAGCTCTGGCAAAGGCTCTAGAATCAAATTTCTCTCTGACTTCTATGGATCTCCAGGATAATAAAATTGGAGATACAGGAGCAACAGCTTTGGCAAAGGCTCTAGAATCAAATTCCTCTTTAACTTCTTTGGATCTTTCTCACAATCCAGTTGGAAGTATAGGAGCAACAGCATTGGCAAAGGCTCTAGAATCAAATTCTTCTCTGACTTTTCTGAATCTTCAATATAATCAAGTTGGGAGTATAGGAGCAACAGCTTTGGCAAAAGCTCTAGAATCGAATTCTTCTCTGACTTCTTTGAACTTCCAGTCTAATAAAATTGGAGCTACAGGAGCAACAGCTTTG